AGCGGATTTTCTCCATCCTAGAGCAGAGACTGAAGGTAGGTGCTGCAGGCGGTGCATGGGGAGGGCTCTAGGCAGCCAGCTATCATTTATTAGAGAGTTTTACAGCTCCACAGTGTTCGAGGGGAAAGAATTTTGGGGGAGAGGGTGGCTCCTCTCATGCCTGAATGTCCATGTGTAGAAGACAGAGCCCTTTTCTGCAGCCCATCAGGATGCAGGCGTGGGCAGCTGAAGGCGTTTCGTAGCAGATGCCAAGGAAGCGTTAGAGATGGGCCCTGAGCTCTGGTCCTGGCTCTGAGCTTTGTGTCCCATTCACTTTGCTCTTCTCTCTTGCCTGTGAAGTTTTCTGTCCTGGGGATTGTGAAGTGATGAATTCAGTAACAGCTGTGGCACTCACTCTGTAATGAGCACCCTAGGAAAGCCTGTGAGGAAATCAGTCACTCTGTGTTTAGTTCTGAGCTTGTGATTCGTAGCGGGTGAGGCTGAGGCAATGTGTTTGTACCTGAAGAATCAAAGGAGACATTGGAAAGCTGTCCAGGTCCCATCCGGGAGGGAGGGAGGAAGGCCAAGGTCCCACGGGAACAGCAGCACACGATTAAGTAGTGTGTCACAATGCAGATTCTCTAGGGGGGCTCATTAAATGTGCCCAAGTTGTCTTATCTGTGCACTCTTTTTGCTTCTGGAAGGTTAGCCTTGCTCAGTAACATTCACTGAATGGTGATGGTTAGCTTGCAAGTATACTTGTTTTGGGGAGCTAAGTTAAGGTCTGAAGGTAAGGTGAGATGAGCTGCTGTTGCGAGCTGCAGATTCCCTCAGAGCCAGTCGCTCCCACGAGTGTGTCTGTCCCTGCAGGCTTCTGGGGAGAAAGTTCGAACAACTGAGACACAAGTGCTAGTGGCTACACCGCAGAAACACTTACTGGCTGCGAGACTGAAGCTCATCTCGGAGCTGTGGGATGCAGGGATCAAGGTAAAGTAAGGACTTGGGCTTGGCACTGATATGGGTGAGGGAGGGAGAGCCTGAAGGGAGGTGTAGCACAGCAAGTCCAACTATAATAGTTGTGTGTCTTTTCAAGATCTGGGCCTGTCTGAGATCTACAGGCAGAGAAGGAGAACAGCTGAGAGCACTAAAGGCAACCGCTTGCTGGAGGAATAATGAGGCAGAGTTTTCTGTGGGGTTTTGGTGCTGGCTGTTTTGCTCCAAGATCCATCAGAGCAAATTTTGCATTAACGATTCACCTTTTCCACTCCGTCCTAGGCAGAGATGCTGTATAAGAAGGACCCTAAACTGTTGAAGCAGCTGCAGTATTGTGAGGACATGGGCATCCCCCTTGCTGCCATTGTAGGAGAGCAAGAGCTGACAGATGGAGTCGTCAAGCTGCGAGATGTCGCAACAAGAGAGGAGGTGAGAATGCCTTTTTACACCAGGTTTTGAAAGTGGTTCCAAAATCTAGAGATTACTGAAAGGCTCTGTGTTTTCTCTCAGTGATGTTGTTCCTTTGGGGAGCTGTAGCACAGATCTGTCGGGTGACTGCTCCAGAAAACCAGTCACAAACTGCATTGGTATCCCCAGCAAGTCCTTAGGGCCAGATTGAACCACGCTCTGCTCAGGGTTCCAGTGCTGCTACCTGCTCTTTGTTTGCTTCGTAGGTTGATATCCCAAGAGAAAAGCTTGTTGATGAGATCAGAAGGCGGCTGGAGCCCTAGGACTTCTCTGGCCAGAGCTGCTTGACTGAA